ATTTTTATAACTTAACCTCTACTGTGAATTCTTCACTCTACCTCATGTCCACTAAATTTGTTTAGAAATCACTTAACCAGGATTCAGAAGGACGTATCAGTTCAAGTATTTTTAGCCCCTATGTTAATTCTTATTTAAAATGAAAGCTTAAGCATCTCTTTTAAAAATAACTTACATATATTGCATTTAATTTCTGCTACTGTTGCTAGCATTCAGTGTACAGTAAACTTTTTTCTGGCATATATGAAAAATGGTAAATCTAGGTAAAGAGATTTAAGATTAAGTATTTTTCACTACAGTTCATAATTTCATTTCTCTCTGTGACAAGAGTCTTATCCAGGTTATTACATTTCTTCAGTGTCATCATTATGAAATCATGCTGTTATTAAATTAGTAGGTCAGTGCTAATTCAATGGACATATTTTGAACACTGGACCCAATGACTGTATATATACATATTCACATCCATTACCTATGTATATGAAACGTTTACAAAAATTGACCACATATAAGGCCCTAAGGCAAGTCTCAACAAATCTGAAAGATTAAAATTATACACAGCATGTTATCTAATCATAATAGAATTGAATTAAAATATGACAGAAGACAATTGGAAAATCCCAAATGTTTGAAAATTAAATGATACCCTTTTAAATAAATAGTGGTCAAAGAAGAGATCATAATGGAAATGGCAAAATATGTTGAATTAAATGATAATGAAAATACGGCTTATCAAAACTCTGGGATGTAGCAGTGCATACACTTACATGCATACATTAGAACAGGGAAAAGGTAAAAATTAATGATATAAGAACCCAACTTAAGAAGACAGAAGGAGAATAGCACACTAAATGCAAAGAAGCTAGAGAGAAGAAAAAAATAAACAAAATAGGAGAAATTAATTAAATGAAAAACAAACATATATTAGGGGAAGTTAACTTGGTCACAGTCTGCAAAACATTTTATAAGATCAGTGCAATCTTTTTTGGGGGGTGGGGTCAGTGTAATGTTGATACCAAAATCTAACAGGGACATTATGACATTTTGACTAATCATAGGCCTTTTTTCCTTATGAACATAGATGTAATTATCAGAAACTAAAAATATCAAACTTAACCCAGCAGCATGTTAAAAGAAAACCAAAAAGGATGATTACATTGTGATAAATTTGGTTTTATTCCAGGAATGAAAACTTAGCTTAGTGTTGAAAAATCAGTGGATGAACCACTTCTGGATATATACTCAAAGGAAATGAAAGCAGAGGATCAAAAAGACAAATTCACAGCGGCATTAATCACCACATAGCCAAAGGGTATTGATGAAATAAAGAAATAAAGCGAAAATACATAGGATTAACAAAAAATCAATTATATTGAAATATAATTAGTTAAAATGTAAAAAAAATTGATACAGAAATAGATGTGCTTCTTATGAACATGTTAGGTACCAAGTTTTAGTGGTGGGTTTAAACTGCACAGAAATTACCATCAAACTAGAAATGAATCATAATGATATTTTGAGATACCAGCAACTATCGTGTATTCAGATCTGTGGTTTTTATTACGACAAAGGTACAGATACTACGAACACGAAGGCGGCTTGTTCTTACCTTAATAATAGAAAGATATGCCACATTTCAGTGAGAAGTTAGTGAAAATAAGACAAAATTTCCCCCCACGCAAGACCATGGATGACCCAAATCCTGTAAGCCTCTAATGCTCATTTTTATAGTTTTTTCACTGATGTGTTTTTCCACATATTTATTGGTATGTTGGTTGTTTCTACAGTAAAAATTACTTATTTTTAATTCTATCTATTTCATTATTGCTCCAATAAATCTGAGTTACATTTTATTCTGTCCGAAGTATTTTAATTTTTGTTATATATAATTATATATTTATTTTTATATTAATAAGACCAAGGGCTGTATCGTATCATCAATTAAAATATACCAAGATTAAAACGATAACACCTTTATTACAGGGACTAAGTAATAATGACCTAAAAATCCACAATCTCAACTATTAGGTATCTCTTTCTAGAAACAGAATAAAATGTCAATTTTATGCAATTTAGCTTTTTTTTTGTATTTTTAACTTATTTTATGATTTCAGTGGAAGGGGATTCAATAATTTTCCCCCAAATCTGAGGTTTCTGTTACCTTTATTTATTCATTAGGTTTTAATTTTTCTCCTAGTTTTATTAATATATAATTGACCTAAAGCACTGTCCAAGTGTAATGTGTACAGCATGATGATTTTACTTACATACGTCATGAAATGATGACCACAGTAAGTTTAGTGAATATCTACATCTCAGTTAGATGCATCTCATCTATCTACATCTCATTCCATATTAAAGAAATAGAAAAAAAAGTTTTCCTTGTGATGCAGACTCTTAGGATTTACTCTGTTAACAGCTTTCATATATAACGTACAGCAGTGTTCATTGTATTTCTCACGTTGTACATTATATTCCTAGTACTTATTCATCTTATAACTTGAAGCTTGTACCTTTTGACTGTCTTCATCCAATTCCCCTTTCCTCCAGTGCCTGCCTCTGATAACCACAAATCAGATCTCTTTTTTTTTATGAGTTTGTTTGTTTTTGAAGTATAATTGACCTACAACACTATGTTAGTTCCTAAAAAGACAAAACAAATGAACAAACGTAACAAGACGGAAACACAGAAAAAGCAGGTGGTTGCCAGAAGGGAGGTGAGTAAGAGGAGGAAAGAAATAGGAGGCAGATGAAGAGGTACAAACTTCCAGCTGCAAAATAAACGAGTCACGGATATGAAATGTACAGTGTGGGGAATACACTCAATAATCATGTAGTATCTTTGTATGGTGACGGACGGAAGCTAGATACATCATGATGGCCATTTTGGAATGTGTGGAAACAGCGCATCACTATGTTGTGTGCCAGGAACTAACATGGTGCTGTGGGCCAGTTACGCTGGCCCATGTGAAATAGTGAGAGGAAGCAGTACATTGTCATCACATTCAGGACCATCGCATGCCACCCAGAGATGATCACTGTGGAGCCTCTGTTTTATATAAACATGGAGTTTAGACACAGAGCAGCCATGGGTTAAAGGAAAAGCAGAGGCCATTCTAGACCTGGCTGGGATACTGCAGAACATTTTTGCCGGTAAAGATGAGAAAGGAGTCAGTTACCCACAAAGCACCCACATATCCCAGACAGTCTCTCATAAGCACCATTCCACTGAGGCACATTTTGAGATTCTCTTTTCTATCCGGGGCTGCTTATCCAATAAACTCAGTGTTGATTGCCCTCATTTCCAAATTCAGGCATATTTCCTGTTT